GGCTGGTTGGAGGCCTCCTCTCTCCTCCTGACTCAGGCTGGTTGGAGGCCTCCTCTCTCCTCCTGACTCAGGCTGGTTGGAGGACTCCTCTCTCCTCCTGACTCAGGCCGGTTGGAGGCCTCCTTTCTCCTCCTGACTCAGGCTGGTTGGAGGACTCCTCTCTCCTCCTGACTCAGGCTGGTTGGAGGACTCCTCTCTCCTCCTGACTCAGGCCGGTTGGGGGCGGGGCTTGTCCAAGAGAAACTAAAGCAATATCTTTCATCTTTCACTTTCCTCCTTTTCTACTGTGGGATCCGAAGCACACAGACTGGACTCAGAGTGCTGCCTGGACCAGGACCTCCACTGACAATGTATTCCCTTGTGATGTTACTGTGAAGAACTTCAGTGCTGAAGGAATAAAATCTGTTGACTTTGGACTGTTGGGTGTTTGTGGTTSTCATTTATTTCAGAACCTCTGGTTCTGCTCAGATTTGTTCCAACAAAACACCAAAGCGTGGACCGGTACACGGTACTGGGCTGTTACCTGTTTAACTCTGTTTGGACTGAAGAAGGATGAACCGATGAGAACAATGTGTAAACAGGACTTCCTCTTTCATTCATTTCAGTCACCAAACACTTCCTGTACGTGGACCTTCAGAATAAGGGACTCAGTCCTCCTTTGGMCCAGGAACACTGAACATGTTGGTTTTTACAGACAACCAGAGAACAGTTGGTGTAAAAACATAAAGTCAATCATTGTTTTTAAATTTAGATTCAACAACTCTGAGCGTGGACCTGCTGTTAAAAACAGGAGTTATTCCTCTGCCAGATGAGTTTATTATTCTTCATAAAAAGTTCAGTTTGAGCTTCTGGACATCTTGGTCCTGTTTTATGAAGACAGTAAATATGAACGTAGCCAGGTGCTCTGTGCTCCCAGAGACTTAGTTTAGCTGAAAAAATAAAAATAAAGCTGCCAAAAATTGTAGAAATTCAGCTTTACTGACAAAATCTCTTGTCCTGGACTCAGAACCAGAACCTGGGTCTGAGCTAAAGGTTCCAGCTCAGAACCTGACGGGTCCAGCCTTCATCCTGCAGGAACTGTGGAACAAAGAACCTGAGTCAACAGGTGAGGAAAACTGAAGAAACAAGTCCGACTAAATGGATTTAAGTTAATTCACTGATTCCAGTTTATTCTCAGAAGGAGTTATTTTACTAACACAGCTGCTGGTCCTACCACTGACACAACCAGTTAGACAATAATAACACAAACCTGACCTCCAACCAGGAGGGACCCCAGAAACCAGGCTGGGTGGGGGTCCACCTTCAACATGAAGGGAAGTCTGTGGATCAGACTCTGGCTCCCTAATGATGGGCAGGTCCTGGTCCTGTCCTGTCCTGGTACTGCCTGGTCCTGTCCTGGTCCTGGTCCTGGTCCTGTCCTGGTCATGGTCCTGTCCTGGTCATGGTCCTGGTATTGTCCTGTCCTAGTCATGGTCCTGGTCCTGTCCTGGTCATGGTCCTGTCCTGGTCATGGTCCTGTCCTGGTCATGGTCCTGGTGTTGTCCTGTCCTGGTCCTGTCCTGGTCCTGGTCCTGTCCTGGTCATGGTCCTGGTGTTGTCCTGTCCTGGTCATGGTCCTGGTCCTGGTCCTGTTCTGTCCTGTCCTGGTCCTGGTCCTGTCCTGGTCCTGTCCTGGTCCTGTCCTGGTGCTGGTCCTGGTCCTGT